TTGTGAACCATTTTCTTCCTATCTCCCTCCTAAACCTAAACTTATCCAACTTGAATCCGTTGCTCCGAGTTCTATCCTGCTTGGATATTATAAGAACTTTATCTATAACCCCTTTATTGATTCCTTTCACCCACTTAAATACTTCTATCATATCTCCCCGCACTCTTCGTCTTTCTAGGGAATGCAAGTTAAGTTTCTTTAACCTATCCTGATATGGAAGGTTTCTAAGTCCCGGAATCATTTTTGTCATTCTTCGCTGCACCGACTCTAGTTAATTTATATCCATTCTATAATAGGGACACCAGAACTGAACCGAACTGAACATACATACATACATACATACATACATACACAGGCATACATACACATTCCCTTGACATAAAAGACATTGAATGAAACGAAGTATAAAGGATGATATTAAACAAGGCTGATCGTGTCATTGTGTAGACAGGTGAAAATGAAGACCAATTTACTTACCTGTCGAAAACACCGTCTCGGGTCTTATTGATCGATGAGCGAGTATTGGATTCGTTTCTGTCCGTGTGTGAGTGAACTACATATTCTTTTAGTAACATGTTGATATATGTGGATCAAACTTGGTAAGATGGATAGATGGATAAATGCCACAGGAGGATATTTGGTTCTGGGCATGGATTACTGTAGGTCAAAGGTTAAGGTCTTATTGCAATTTTCCTGTGAGGATTTTGTATTTATTTTTTTTGTATGGTTCAGGTTTACAGATTTGTTGGGTTAATTTTTGGTATTTAAATTCGGAATAATAATAATAATAATAATCTGTAATAAAACAAAGAAAAACAAAATTAACAAAGAACACACACACACACGCGCGCAAAAACAAACAACAACAAACAAACCAAACAACGAAGACACGAAATATACCCCAGTATTGTTTATAACGGGACAAACATACACTGAGAACACCCCCCCCCCAGCACCATCCCCGCCCAGCATGGCTCCTAGGCGCTGCTAAGATGGACAAATTTATCTCCTGACGATACAATGCCTCCTGACGATACAATACCTCCTGACGATACAATACCCCCTGACGATACAATACCTCTTGACTATACAATACCCCCTGACGATACAATACCAATATACCACCTGACGATACAATATACCACCAGACGATACAATATACCACCTGACGATACAATATACCTCCTGACAATACAATATACCACCTGACGATACAATATACCTCCTGACAATACAATATACCACCTGACGATAAAATATACCACCTGACGATACAATATACCACCAGACGATACAATATACCACCTGACGATACAATATACCTCCTAACGATAAAATACCTCCTGACGATACAATATACCACCTGACGATAAAATACCTCCTAACATTAAATACCTCCTGACGATACAATATACCTACCTGACGATAAAATACCTCCTGACGATACAATATACCACATTGAAGATACAATATACCGCTGACGTTACAATACCTCCTGGCCGCCTGTTACCTCCTGGCGATAAAATACCTCCTGACGATACAATATACCACCTGACGATACAGCATACCACCTGACGATACAATAACCTGCCACCTGACGATACAATATACCACCTGACGATACAATATACCTCTGACGATACAATATACCTCCTGGCGTACAATACCTCCTGACGATAAAATACCTCCTGACGATACAATACCTCCCTGACGATACAATATACCTCCCTGGCCATACAATACTTACTCCTGACGATACAATACCGCCAAACGATACAATATACCACTGACAATACAATATACTCACGGCAATACAATATACCACCTGACAATACAATATACCACCTAATGATACAATATACCACCTGACAATGCATATACCTCCTGACGATACAATATACCACCTGACGATACAATATACCACCTGACGATACAATATACCACCTGACGATAAAATACCTCCTAAGATAAAATACCTCCTGACGATACAATATACCACCTGACAATACAATATACCACCTGACGATACATCTACCACCTGACGATACAATATACCTGACGATACAATATTATAACACCTGCGATAAAATACCTCCTAAAAAGATAAATACACTCCTGACGATACAATATACCACGTGACGATACCAATGCCACCGCCTGACGTTACAATACCTCCTGGCCGCCTAATACCTCCGACGATAAAATACCTGCGAGCGATACAATATACCTCCTGACGATACAATATACCACCTGACGATAAAATACATCCTAACGATAAAATACCTCCTGACGATACAATATACCACCTGACCATAAAATACCTCCTGACGATACAATATACCTCCTGACGATACAATATACCACGTGAAGATACAATATACCGCCTGACGTTACAATACCTCCTGGCCATACAATACCTCCTGACGATAAAATACCTGATGACGATACAATATACCACCTGACGATACAATATACCACCTGACGATACAATATACCACCTGACGATACAATATACCACCTGACGTTACAATATACCTCCTGACGATACAATATACCTCCTGACGATACAATATACCCACCGACGATACATTACTGAAGCGATATAATACCACCCTGACGATACAATATACCTCCTGACGATACAATATATACCTCCCTGACATTGTATACCTCCCTGACGATACAAATTACCACCTGACGATACAATTACCACCTGACGATACAATTACCACCCTGACGATATAATATACCACCTGACATTATAATAATATACCACCTGACGATACAATATACCACCTGACGATACAATATACCTCCTGACGATACAATATACCTCCTGACGATACAATATACCACCTGACGATACAATATACCTCCTGACGATGCAATATACCACCTGACGATACAATATACCTCCTGACGATACAATATACCTCCTGACGATACAATATTACTACCTGACGATACAATATACTACCTGACGATACAACCTTACCCTCCTGACATTAATAATATACCTACTGACGATACAATATACCTCTGACGATACAATATACCTCCTCACGATACAATATACCTCCTCACGATACAATATACCTCCTCACGATACAATATACCTCCTCACGATACAATACCTCCTCACGATACAATATACCTCCTAACGATGCAATACCTCCTGGCCATACAATACCTTCTGACGATAAAATACCTCCTAACGATACAATACACCTCCTGACGATACAATATACCTCCTGACGATACAATATACCACCTGACGATAAAATACCTCCTGACGACAAAATACCTCCTGACGATACAATATACCACCTGACGATACAATATACCGCCTGACGATACAATATACCTCCTGACGATAAAATACCTCCCTGACGATACAATATGCCACCTGACGATATTTTACAAAATATGCCACCCTGACGATACAATATACCACCTGACGATATAATATACCACCTGACGATACAAATATACTCCTGACGATACAATATACCTCCCTGACGATACAATATACCACCTGACGATACAATATACTACTGGGCGATACAATATACTCCTGACGATACAATATGCCTCCTGACGATACCAATATACCTCTGACGATACAATATACCTCCTGACGATACAATATACCTCCCTGGTAATATACCTCCTGTACCACAATATACCTCCTGGCCATACAATATACCACCTGACGATACAATATACCTCCTGACGATGCAATATACCTCCTGACGATACAATATACCTCCTGACGATACAATATACCTCCTGACGATACAATACCTCCTGACGATACAATTTACCTCCTGACGATACAATATACCTCCTGGCCATACAATATACCACCTGACGATACAATATACCTCCTGACGATACAATACCTCCTGACGATACAATACCTCCTGACGATACAAAAGGTACTCAGAAGGCTTCCACACGATCCTCCTGTCGGGAATGAATGTGTGTGTGTTTGTGTCAAGATAATATTGTATTGTTTGGTTATGGCGTGAGGGGTGGGGGGGAGGAGGGGGTGTGTAGAGGGGAGGGAGTGTAGGTGGGGGGGATGTGGGAGGGGTGGGTGTCGGGGAGGAGGGTAGTGTGTATATTAGTGTGTGGGAAGGAGAGTATGTATGTGTGTGTGTGTGTGTGTATGATTCAGAGAGAGAAAGACAGAAAGAGACAAGAGAGAGAGAGAGACAAGAGAGAGAGAGAAAGAGAGAGAGAGAGAGAGAGAGAGAGAGAGAGAGAGAGAGAAGAGAGAGAGAGGAGAGAGAGAGAGAGAGGAGAGAGAGAGAAGAGAGAGAGAGAGAGAGAGAGAGAGAGAGAGAGAGAGAGAGAGAGAGGAGAGAGAGAGAAGAGAGAAGAGAGAGAGAGAGAGAGAGAGAGAGAGAGAGAGAGAGAGAGAGACCTATGATTTACTCTACTAAAGACAGGTGGTCGAGTTATCGGAAAATAATTCACTTGATCACCCGAGGCGTCCAGGAGCAACACCTGACGTAGTATATTGATCTGTGTAATGAGTTAGGTCGTTCCGTCACCCTCTGAGTCAATACTTCCTCCAGGTGTTCTAACTCTTTGGGTGGAGGTGGGTGTGGTGGGTGGGCGTGGTGGGTAGGTGGGTGTGGTGGGGGAGGAGGGTGGAAGGGGCCTGGTGGGGTGGGGTGGTGTGTGGAGGAGGAGGAGAAGGGGGGGGTTGGTGGATGGATGGAATAGCAGGGATATGTGGATGTGGTGGATATAATAGTGTGTGGATGTGGGTAGTGGAGAGGAGTGAGTGGGTTAGTGTGATTACCATATTTTAGCTATATTTTTTATTTTTATTTATTTTTATTTTTTTTTAGTTCACCAGAGAAAAAATATTGTGATTGGTTTTCATCTCTCTCTCTCTCTCTCTCTATCTCTCTCTCTCTCTATCCCCAACACCACACTCACCACATCTCTCTCCACCACAGATCTCCAACCAAGGTAACCCTGAACTAAGCGTGTTGATGGACGCTATGGAGAAGATCAGATACTCGGGCAGCTGGGCGACGGTGCAGCACCTCTCCGTCAGGGGGCTCCTCCCTAGCACTGAGAACTATATGACCTATGAGGGGTCGCTCACACAGCCCCCCTGCCACGAGACCGTCACCTGGGTCGTCGTTAATAAGCCAATTTACATCACTAAACAACAGGTAAAGTCTCGTTGGTGACCTTTGAGGGTGGGTGGGTTATCTAGCGAGTCCGACCTGACCTGACCTGACCTGACCTTTGAGGGTGGGTGGGTTATCTAGTGAGTCCGACCTGACCTGACCTGATCTGACCTGACCTGACCTGACCTAACCAAACCTTTGAGGGTGGGTGGGTTATCTAGTGAGTCCGACCTGACCTGACCTGACCTGACCTAACCTTTGAGGGTGGGTGGATTATTTAGTGAGTCTGAGCTGAGCTAACCTGACCTGACCTAACCTGACCAGACCTGACCTAACCTAACCTAACCTTTGAGGGTGGGAGGGTTATCTAGTGAACCTGACCTGACCTTTGAGGGTGGGTGGGTTATCTAGTGAGTCTGAGCTAACCTTGACCTGACCTTTGAGGGTGGGTGGATTATCTAGTGAGTCTGAGCTAATCTGACCTGACCTGACTTGACCTGACCTAACCTTTGAGGGTGGGTGGGTTATCTAGTGAGTCTGAGCTGACCTGACCTGACCTGACCTGACCTTTGAGGGTGGGTGGGTTATCTAGTGAGTCTGAGCTAATCTGACCTGACCTGACTTGACCTGACCTGACCTTTGAGGGTGGGTGGGTTATCTAGTGAGTCTGAGCTAACCTGACCTGACCTAACCTTTGAGGGTGGGTGGGTTATCTAGTGAGTCTGACCTGACCTGACCTGACCTAACCTAACCACATGATATAGGTTTGACTTGGCCAGAGTGTATCGCCTCACCAAACATTAATTCATCATAATCGCTCATCAAATCACCTCTTTAACGCCCATTCACCGGCTAGTTAATATCACCTCACAATTACTGCTCTCTTGTGGTAATTGGCGTCATTAAAAGTAATTACCGACAATAATAACGATTACACCTGCTCGATATATATTAGCCATCGTGTTTTGTTATGGTTAGGTCAGGTCAGGTCAGGTCAGGTTTTTATTAATGATATTTACACCTACTTTGCAATTGTTCATCAACCAGATTGCCTCTATAAAAAATATAGTATTCCGAATAAATAATCAAAATTACATTGATATTATTTCTATGAGTCAATTACCTGTAAAACATTTGCTTATATAAAATATCTCTTCTATATTACGATTTACCCTTCATAATCCTGTATAATACTCGTTGTGTATAATAATAATGATGATGATAATAATAATAATAATAATAATAACAATAATAATAATAATAATAATAATAATAATAATAATTAAAATAATAATAATAATAATAATAATAATAATAATAATAATAATAATAATAATAATAATAATAATAATAATAGCAATAATAATAATAATAAAAATAATAATAATAATGATAATAATAATAACAATAACAACAACACCACCACCACAACAAAATAACAACCAATAACAACAATTAAACCACAAACCATAAACACAAATGAGACATAAACCAATACCATAAACCAACTCTCTCCCATTAAACCATAAAAAAACACATCTAATTACCATAGAATTTGGATAAACCCACAAGACACAAAAAACCCACACTAAAATAAAACACAGTTACTTTATAAACCCAACCTAATGATTATCTTGAGTTGGTTTAATATCCTGAGTTATTCAAAGTTGTTCAAACACTTAAAATGAAGAATAAATCCCTTCGCCATTCATTTCATAGGACTAGATTACCTTTCCCGTAAGCACTTCACTAACAAAGTGGAACAGATGGTAATAATGTAATCGACTCTCAGATGTACGATAGTAATTAATGGTCATTAGTGTAAGGTGAGCTGTGTCAGGTGTGTGTATATGTTGTCTTATGCATTAGTTGATATTGTTAGTTAGTTATTAAATCATTTATTCATACATCTACTTAATCGCTCATTCAGACAGACAGACAGAGAAAAAAAGATAGAGACGAGGAAGACAGAAGAGAGAGAAAGAAATCAAAGAGAACGAGACAGACAGATAAACAAAGAGAATTGAAAGGGAAAGAGAGAAATGAAAATATTAGAGAGAGAGAGAGAGAGAGAGAGTGAAATAAAAACACAACCTCACCTCTTCTATCCCAGCGAGGGTTTAAAACTGCATAAAACTAAGACTGTGTCTCTGTGTGTGTGTGTGTGTGTGTGTGTACATCTTACTGCCATGGATCCAATCTTCGTGGTACACACCCCAAGTTCTCCCTCAAGTGCCGTGCCTACAATTACGTCACATAAGAATCATAATGGAATCCTTATTTTAGAAGCAACGTATGGTAGTTCGAGTGTATGTGTGTGTGTGTGTGTGTGTGTGTGTGTGTGTGTGTGTGTGTGTACGTGTGTGTGTGTGTGTGTGTGTACTCGTGTGTGTGTGTGTGTGTATGTGTGCGTGTGTGTGTGTACGCGTGTGTGTGTGTGTGCACGTGTGTGTGTGTGTGTGTACGTGTGTGTGTGTGTATGTGTGTGTGTGTGTGTGTGTGTACGTGTGTGTACGCGTGTATGTGTGTGTGTGTGTGTACGTGTGTGTGTGTGTACGTGTGTGTGTGTGTGTGTACGTGTGTGTGTGTGCACGTGTGTGTACCTGATCAGCACAATGGCCAGAAGAAATAGACAGATAGACAGTGATGTAAAGATAGAGAAATAGAGACAGGGAGAATAAAGTGAGAGAGAGAGAGACAGAAATATACTGACACACGATGGGATGAAAGTTTCAATAACTTCATATAGAAATTTCCATTCTTTACCGGATATTGCATCACACACACACACACACAGGGTTATTCCACCAACACCCGTCTCACCCAGCAGGTCAGGTCAGGTCAGATCAGATTAGATTACGTTAGGTTACATTGTAAAGAAATAATAGTCTTAACAACAAAATAAACAACTTATGTCACGTTCAAGAGTTTTAGACTATGTACTGTCCCCTTCACTACTGCGTTTACATATAACCTGACGAGCCCCTGTAAACGCACTAGTGAAGGGGACTGTACATATAACCTGACGAGCCCCTGTAAACGCACTAGTGAAGGGAACTGAAACATCTTTTAAGCAATTATTCACCTTATTGTTTGTTGATATAAGACCAAAATAAAATCCCACGTGAAACAAAGGCAACACCATACAGTATTTATATCACAGTTGAGAATATATATAGTGTAGTCAAATGTGTACATGAAATAGTAAACAATATGTGTACATGAAATAGTAAACAATATGTGTACATGAAACAGTAAACAATATGTGTACATGAAACAGTCAACAATATGTGTACATGAAATAGTCAACAATATGTGTACATGAAACAGTCAACAATATGTGTACTGTACATGAAACAGTAAACAATATGTGTACATGTAAACAGAGCAGCTTTGTGTGTTGTTCAGTGCTCGTGAATTATTTATACTGAGTGAGGTTGTTTGGGACCCGGATATAGTAGTACATTTGTTCCCTGTTTTCTGGTGTCATTTTCCGTGTTGCATTACGGCTGAGTCGCGGCATCCAGTCAGTGTGGTATTGGTGGGGGGAGGGAAGGGGAGGGGAGGAATTAAGGGGAAGGGAGGGGAGGGGGAGGGGAGGGGAAGGGAGGAGAGGGGAGGTAGAGGAAGGGAATGGCCGTTGTACCATACTTCCCTCCTCCCTCTTCTCCCTTCTCTCCCTCCTTTCCCTCCTTTCCTCTCTCTCTTCCTCCCTCTCTCCCTCCCCTTCTCCCTCTATCTCCCTTCCCAGGTAGTTTTGGCTGGTTGGTTCCTCATCAAATATTCACAGTCTCTCTCTCTCTCTCTCTCTCTCTCTCTCTCCTTCCCCTCTTCCCTTTTCCTCCTCTTCATTCTCCCTTTCCTTCTCTCTACCTACTCCCGTCCTCCTCCTCTTCTCTCTATCCATCCATCTCCCCCCTTCATCTTTCTCCCCCCTCTCTCTTCCCTTCTCTCCTCTCCTACCCCTGTTCCTCTCTCCCCTCTCACTCACTCCTCCTACAGCTGCACGCCCTCAGGAAGCTGCACCAGGAGACCAAGAAGATTCCGAAGGCTCGTATGGTGAACAACTTCAGGCCAGTGCAGCAGATGTATCACCGACCTGTCAGGACCAACATTGACTTTACCAACGGGAAGCAACTCAACTGTCCCTCTATGGCCAGACAGATGTATTACACAGGTGAGTTAACTGTTATCTTTATGGCCAGACAGGTGAGTTAACTGCCCCTCTATGGCCAGACCGACGTATTACACAGGTGAGTTAACTGTTATCTTTATGACCAGACAGGTGTACTAGACAGGTGAGTTAACTGTTCCTCTATGGCCAGACAGATGTGATACACAGGTGAATTAACTGTTATCTTTATGACCAGACAGGTGTACTAGACAGGTGAGTTAACTGCTCCTCTATGGCCAGACCGACGTATTACACAGGTGAGTTAACTGTTATCTTTATGGCCAGACAGGTGAGTTAACTGCCCCTCTATGGCCAGACCGACGTATTACACAGGTGAGTTAACTGTTATCTTTATGACCAGACAGGTGTACTAGACAGGTGAGTTAACTGTTCCTCTATGGCCAGACAGATGTGATACACAGGTGAATTAACTGTTATCTTTATGACCAGACAGGTGTACTAGACAGGTGAGTTAACTGCCCCTCTATGGCCAGACCGACGTATTACACAGGTGAGTTAACTGTTATCTTTATGGCCAGACAGGTGAGTTAACTGCCCCTCTATGGCCAGACCGACGTATTACACAGGTGAGTTAACTGTTATCTTTATGACCAGACAGGTGTACTAGACAGGTGAGTTAACTGTTCCTCTATGGCCAGACAGATGTATTACACAGGTGAATTAACTGTTATCTTTATGGCCAGACAGGTGTACTAGACAGGTGAGTTAACTGTCACTCTATGGCCAGACAGATGTATTACACAGGTGAGTTAACTGTTATCTTTATGGCCAGACAGGTGTACTAGACAGGCGAGTTAACTGTCCCTCTATGGCCAGACAGATGTATTACACAGGTGAGTTAACTGTTATCTTTATGGCCAGACAGGTGTACTAGACAGGTGAGCTAACTGTTCCTCTATGGCCAGACAGATGTATTACACAGGTGAGTTAACTGTTACCTTTATGGCCAGACAGGTGTACTAGACAGGTGAGTTAACTGTTACCTTTATGGCCAGACAGGTGTACTAGACAGGTGAATTAACTGTTACCTTTATGGCCAGACAGGTGTACTAGACAGGTGAATTAACTGTTACCTTTATGGCCAGAAAGGTGTACTAGACAGGTGAATTAACTGTTACCTTTATGGCCAGACAGGTGTACTAGACAGGTGAATTAACTGTTACCTTTATGGCCAGAAAGGTGTACTAGACAGGTGTACAGCTGTCCCTCCATGGCCAAGGCAGATATAGTAGAATACTATAGACGTGAGTGAAAGCAAATACACCTCCTACAGCGTCTCCTTCAGGCTATCTACTGAAGATTAATCTCAGCGGGGCTAAATTACGTGTGTGTGTGTGTGTGTGTGTTTGTGTGTTTGTGTGTGTGAGTGTGTGTGAGTGTGTGTGTTGGTTGTTGGCTTTATCGTTGTACTTGCAGGTCTCCTCTCTCTCTCTCTCTCTCTCTCTCTCTCTCTCTCTCTCTCTGCACACTTTTAATGCAACATTCTCCCCCTACCATTTCCTCTCTCTTTTTTTTTTTGGTTTGTTTCCCTTGATCCATCCCACGTAAAAAAATGGAAAAGGGGAGGAAGAGGAAAGGGGAAGAGGAAAGGGGAAGAGGAAATGGGAAAGGGAAAGTTAGTAGATAAAATAGATAGATTAAACCCAATATCTTTATTTCTCTGATGAATAAACTTGTCAACATTGTGTCTGGGATGAACCTGGTTATATTGGAAATTATGAAAGAGATTATAATTGGCGATTGACGGGACATATTGTGTTTATGTAAGAGTCTTAGAGTCTTAGCTTGACGAGTGACCACACCTGTATCTCAAAGGGTTAAGTCTCTGATAGCTTGATGAGTGACCATACCTGTATCTCAAAGGGTTAAGTCTCCGTGAGCTTGATGAGTGACCATACCTGTATCTCAAAGGGTTAAAAGTCTCTCTGTTATTATCTCAAGGTGGAATAGGTAAACACCCATTCCAATTATGATATCTGAGACGAACTCTCTCTCTCTCTCTCTCTCTCTCTCTCTCTCTCTCTCTGGAAGGGGTGAGTCGAGTTTATCCGAGTCCCATTCGTTCTCACCCATTGCAGCAAGTCGTCTGGAAGGAAGGTGAATTACTGGGCATTAACCTTTCCAGAATCACCCATTAAGGAAGGGAAGGGGATGGAAGGAAGGTTTCGTTTACACCACAGAATGAGACGCTCCTTAACTCCCGGGTCAAGTGGTGTGTGACAGAGGGAGCTTTGGGTTAGTGGTCTGATTAGTGTACAGATAAACGTTTATAAGGAGCTTAATATGTTACGTGAGAATTTGTGTTAGGGTAAGGTAGGGTAAGGTAGGGTAGGGTAGGGTAGGGTAGGAGCTTAATATGTTACGTGAGAATTTGTGTTAGGGTAAGGTAGGGTAAGGTAGGGTAGGGTAGGGTAGGGTAGGGTAGTGTTAGGTAGTATTAGGTTAGGGTAGGGTAGGGTAGTGTTAGGGTAGGGTAGGGTAGGGTAGTGTTAGGGTAGGGTAGGGTAGGGTTGGCCTGCTCCAACTTGGCCTGTTCCAACTCGAGTTCTTTCATTTTGATTTGGAACTCGAACCAAGCTCGTTCTAGTTCTAAGGCGTCTACTCTTTGTGCGTTTTCTTGAGGGCTAGCCAGACCTAAGGCAACTTCTGAGTGAGGAGGGGTGGTGGATAGTGGTTGAAGTTTCTTGGACATGGGCGTTAATCGGTCAACAGCGGATTCTTTTAAAACCTCTTGTTGAACCAACATTTCAATTACATGATTTTTTAACATTTCCTTAGTCAGTTGCTGTGAAAATGGGATATTGTAATAGTTGGCTAATTCTTTCCATTCTTTCTTCAGGATATTAACACGTAATTTAGCTACGGAAGGATTTTCAATAAAATCCTGGAGATCAAAACCTAAGGTGGCCATTGTTAAGAAAACAAGGATAAATTAACTAATGGTCAAAAGATAAGATAAGTGGATTACCCTAAAAAATATCACGGCAGTGGATAACCAGAAAGTCCCGGAAACTAACCAAGTTATACCTAGGGAAATTACACTTATGATTATTGTTCTTCTCTGAGAAGATCTCAGATGGAAGGATGGATCAAGAGAAGGACACGGCAAGTATTAATATGTGATCCCATCATCAACCCCTGATATACTTGAAAGAGGAAGCGCATACGGCATTAAATATAAAGATCCGGATTAACAACCCTGATAAATGGTATGATTGACCCGGAATGAGATGAGAAGAACAATAATTGAGGCTTTATAATTATGGGGTCCTGATAGAGCGGGGCGTCCCAAGATATCACTTCACCGTAAACTAGTGACTATGGAACAGCCTACTCTGGAGTGAGGGTACGGCATTAAACAGATCCGGATTCTTCCCTACACTCGATAAGACTTACTACACGACTGCCACGTGTAATAACAGGTAAGCCTTATGACACTTGGAACCTAATATCCTACGTCTGTCACGCTTACTGTACGGTAATACCAATATATGCACACACATATGAAGGAACTTTTAAACCACCGTAAAGCAATTGTGAACAGAAGTGACTGGGAGAAATGATTAACAATGAGTAACAAGGGGGGAAGGAATATGGTACTTAAGGTCGAATCCTGTCACGGTCGCCATTCCTTATGGCACTTAATGTTGTGTCCTGTCACGGTCGCCATTTGTTACGAGTTGGGGATTTAGAATATAGTTATACGTCTACCCAGATCCCAACAGGTAACAAAAAAAACAACAAAGACAATCGGACTATAAAAGGGTAGACAAAGGATGCGAGTTTTTGTTGTGTATAATAAAGTACCATAAATCCCTAAACAAAATATTCAGCTTATAAATTACCCTTAACCAAACCTAACCTAAACATTAACAGTATATACATATTAATACAACATAAACAATTTTGAAGCAAGTGGACGTGGGGGAGGCGATACAAGTACTTAAGTGAGGAGCTGAGATGGCTGACGAGTAAGGCTGAGTATTGTAGAAGACGGTAGGTAGTCACTGCACCGTAGGTTTAGAGGATAGATGATCCTGTGGTCACTTCCCAGAGCCAAGTGCTCTCTCCTCGAATTGGAGCTCACAAAGAAGACTAGGAGGAAGTGACGCAACAACCAGGATATGGAGAAGGGAAACCCCGGAGTGTTAACTAAGACGAGTCATACTCGTGTCTCGTCCCTAGATGGCGTTGCTCGTGGTGCTGGGTAGGTAGATCAAGACAATAGATGGCGTGGTTCGTAGTGCTGGGTGGAGGGGTTCGTAACATAAATTTTTTTTTTTTTCGTGCTGGTCAAGCCCCGACCAGAGGTTAGCTAGACCCCCGGACAACTCTTTCGGAGCTTGACCAGCACGTGGTATTGGTAATATTATCTCGATTTGATTATATGTTACAAATTTACTTGTGAGTTTTTCAATGTTTTGTTTTGTATAATATTTACTTATTCTAAGCTAAATGTTAACAAATAAATGACTTAAATAATACGAAAACAAACAAATAAAAGCGGAACTCCACCTAATATATACTGTATGTTACACTAAATAGTAGGGTGTGTCAATTTAGGGGGTGAACTGGCTAAATTGAAAATCGAGTAATTTGGTAGCAATTTATTGTAGTCTTTAAGCATGCAAAACAATATTCTGGCATAAATTTTTTTTTATAATAAGTCCTACCTACATCAAATGGATTTTTAAATGTACATATTTGTGAATTTATAACATAACCAGCGTTTGCACACATGTTACTGTTTCAAGTTTCAAATTATTATATTTTATTATCCGTAGTCTATTTGAAAGTAACCAATGCCTTCATACTCTCTTTGCTTTGGTTTCTTGTCATCAGTAGTCTGCTTGCTATTTGTGCTTTGATGTAACCTTCTCGCCTCTCGTGGCTGTAAACATGGCCCGCTGCTTCTGTGACCATTTTCACACATCTCTCCACACTTTGAGTGTGGGAAGGCCACTTCGGCACCTGCATTGGAG